TCAGAAATGGAATAGATTCAGACCAAGTATTTGAGACAGGGCTGTACAGAGTAAAGGTATCCTTCTCTACCCAAGCCATTGTTATTTACTACCCAAAACTCAGGCATAAAACAGATTCAAGTAAAGTGGTATATACCACATTATCTGAAATTGTTATTGGGACTCTCAGTAAAGAAATGCAGGAATTTAGTAGATTTGGAGAGCAAAGTAAACCCGTGTTGTTACACAACTCCTTCAAATAACAAGCTTAATAAGTCATAGAAAACATAAGACAACCTTTTTGAGTAATTCTACTTCATTTTAATCACTCTGTTACTACAGCCATTATTTCCTTCAAAAGGTATACTGCAATTTAGCTTTTGTTGGAATATATCTGCTTATATGTTGATCGGTCAGTGTTCTCAAATGGATAGTGACTGAAAAATATTTTACAAAGCATAATATACTGACTAGGTTCTCATATGCAAAATACATATAGAATTCTTACAACTCAATAAAAAGACAAATAACACAATCTAAAAACGGGCAAGGTATCTGAGTGGACATTTCTCCAAAGATAAACAAATAGCCAACAAGTACAAAAAAAGATGCTCAATACCATCTGTCATTAGGAAAATGCATATCCAAATCACTGAAATGCCACTTCTTATTCATTAGGATGGCTGTAATAATAGTAATAAAAATAAAAATAACAAGTCTTGGAGAGGATATGGAAAAACTGGAACCCTCAGACATTGCTGGCGGAAATGTAAAATACTGCACCTGCTTTGGAAGCTTCAGTTCCTCAAAAAAATTAAAACAGAGTTACCATACGACCCAGCAATCTATCCTAGGTGTACTTGAGGAAACTAAAACCAAATGTCCACACAAACACCTATACACAAACTCTCATTGCAGTATTATTCATACCAGCTAAAAAGTAGAAGCAACGCAAATATATACATGGACTGATGAATAGATAAACCAAATGTGATATGTCCATACAATGCAGTATCATTTAGTCAGAAAACCAATAAAGTGCTGGCACATGCTGCAACACGAATGAACCTTGAAAACACTATGCTAAATGAAAGAAGCCTGACAGAAAAGGCCACATATTGTATGATTCCATTAATATGAAGTGAGCAGAACAAATACTCAGAAACAGAAAGTAGGTTAGTGCCTGCCCAGAGCTGGGTTTAGGAGTAAAGCAAAATGACTACCTGTGGGTATGGAGTAATTAAAATGTCCTGGAATTAGTGTTGATAGATACAATAACTTTATTGATAAACTAAAAACTACTGAATGACATGCTCTGAAAGAATGAATTTTACATATGTAAGTTATACCACAATTTAGAAGGAAAAAACTCTGGGTATGGATCATATACTTGAGAAACTTCCTACTTATAAAAGATGAACAGTAAAATGAGCTAATAGTTTATACTGGAACTATCCCCAAAGCATTGTGAAAGTGTATGGAATAGTAAAAAGATTATTTAAGTATTTGCAGATAGAAGATAATAGTACGACTGATACATTTTTAACTTGAAACTATAAAAAACTCAGCTGTTTATTTGCATCTGTTCAATATCACAAATTCAGAATTCCACACAGCAGACATAAAGGAAATAGGATTCAAAAAACAGATTCAGAGGCACACAAATAAATGAAACCCCTTTGCTGAGCTTCACGAGTTCACAAGCCAGGGAAGAAAACCAATCTCATTATTTAATATGCACCTATATTTACATACTTGACAACAGACACTTTTTGACTGCTTCCAAATGCCAAATTCAACTTCTAAGGATGAAAATTTGCCAATACTAAGGATATTCAAAAAATGAATATACTGATTTCATACACTTCCAAAAATAAGTTTTGTCCAATGAAATATGGTATAACCTCCAAATGAGCTTACAAGAGAATGCTGCTGGGGATAAAATACTGTCCCTGCTGTGGTGCTTTAAAAAACATTATCACTGCTACAAGTTGCACAATGGAATACTTAAATAAAGTAAACACTCCTTCCATGAACTAAGAGGAAAATGTATTGCAAACCACAAACTACCTAACAAAAAGTCTGTACACTCTAATCTGCATTAGAAAAATTCTATAGCCCACCTCTGCCAACCTATCACCTACATGTCCCCGACACTAATCACTGGACTGCTGTTTAGACAGACAACTCACGGATGACCTTTTCCACTTCTATTCAGGTTGTTTCTCATGAATGGAAAGCCCTTTCCATGTTGATCAAATGAAGCAAAAATCTACTACTTTCTTCACGAAGTCTTCCTTCATCATCTCAAGAGTTTTCTTTCACCCCTACCACTCCCTTGCACCATCATATGGTACCCATTTGCCTTGTACAATAATTAAAAACGTTGTATTTTCTCCACGGACTGAAAGTTCCTAAAGGATAGGGCAGCTGCCCTAATATCTTTATACACAGGTGCATGGTTAAGAAATATTTAAATGAAGTAAGCACTACCTAAATGTTTTACTTGCAATGAGAAACCAGGTAATTCAACAGGTACTCAGAAAGTGGCAAGTTCCCAGATATCAAATAACCAATTCTCAGGATAGAAGAAATTCCAACCACCTGTGTAGCTAAAAAATGGCATTATTGGGCCAGTGGGTGGTATGGAGGTTAAGGCAGCTGGATCCCACGTGGCCGACTTCATGGCTTGAGTATCAAACCAAGCAGCTTGAAAAATCATGCTGGGCATGTGTGTGTACACGCCCAAAAACCTGGGAAAATGAAGGAAAAGGGAAGGTAAAGTGGCCATCCTCCCAGGGAGTGATTTCACGTTTTCTTTCTCTCTCTCTCTCACCTCCCCTACACACACACACACACACACACACACACACACACACCCACAGCAAA